TGGCTAAATTAAACATTATGCTTGTTTCACCTACGTAATCCAGCACTCATCAAATAGAGACTAGAGACTCAGGGTGAAAATATCCATCTATTACATTTTATATAAACCAGACTGATTGAAAGTCTCCATTGTAAACAAAAATTATGTTTTCAATTATTTGAATCTTCATATTTGTACTGAATTATGTCTTTCCTTGTTTTTGTTATTTGTTAGTTACTCTTTCACCTTCAATAATTCTCTTATCCGTTAATGAAAAAGTTTGTATTTAATTTTTCATTGATTAGTATGCTTGACAGATTTACATTTAAGCCCTCCCATTTCTAATATGTTTATACTTATAAAAAAGTTTCTAAAAAGTAAAAGAAAAAATATTAATTAATACAATGAGTGGTCAAAATCTGATATTTTCCCATTTCTTCAAGTGAGTGTATGACTTTTTGGTAGAAAAATATTCTAATTTCTGCAATACTAGCAAAACACTGTAATACTTGGCATTTAGCTCTAGAGTCTAGAAATAAAACCAGCAGAGGAAGCATAAGAACATAAAACTAGTTTATTAAGTCCCCTTAGACTAGTAAATGCTATGTCAGAGCCTCTGAGTATGACTACTAGGCAGATTCCATCACAACCCACATTTTTATGACCTTCTGTACTATAACAGAGTGACGGGGAATGTTATGGCTCTGCACACGGACCAAAAACGGGTCTGCTTCTGAATGTGGATCTGGACTGACCAGACCTCCAAGATCACTTTATGGATATAGGTTCATCTTAAGGTCTTTGTTTATGGGATAAGGGAGGGGGGAGGTTAAATCAATCCTTACAAAACCCCCTTTTCCAGAATTGTGTCTGCCCAAGTTTGGGACCTCTCAGGAGCCAAAATGAGCCTTCTACATAGGAGGAACTCAGTAACATGCTTGGACCACCATGGACTTTTTTAGACATCCTAGCTTTAAATGAGTTGTGTTATAGCCAGACTGGCAACGGGTAGATACTATTGTCCAGGAAAAATAGCAAGTTAAATATATGACCTGCTACATTTGCCTTCATATTAGTTAGTAACCTTCTTGGGCCATATTCTGCCTTCCTCAAAGACACCTCATGATAAAATCACATGAAAATGCTTTAAACATTTTGAGAAAGACAAAACACAATGTCAAGGTAACATTTTTTAATATATTAGTAGCCCTGCACACATATCCATGCACCAGTAGCTTGCCAGTAGCTCACTGCTGCCCTTCAGTAGCTCTCAGCCTACTGCCCCTCCCTCATAGCTTGCTGCCCTGCCCCCTCCTGTAGCTCTCCGCTGCCTGCTGTAGCCAGTAGCTCCAGCTGCCCTCCTTTAGCTCTCCGCCCACTGCCCCGCCCTCCTGTAGCTCTCCTTCCCCCATTGCTTGCCGTCCTGTCCCCTCCTAGCTGCCTGCTTGTAGCTCTGCCCCACCCTCTTGCTGATCCGTGATCCGGTTGTTACTTGGTCGGTTGTTACACTTGCTTCATGGCATAACGACCATTTACATCTTTATTAAACAGAATTAGAACTAACTCGCAATACAAGAAAACCCTTGGGCCACATCTGGTTCACCATATAGCGGTAAGAAGCTACTTACCCTTTTTCTGACCTGAAGGCAGCAATACAGAATTCAGAGCACTCCTATTGGCCATCATATGGTGAACGCCTAACTACTGAAGAGCCAAAAGGTCAGGCTCAACACCACCTCCACCTAAACCAAATCTGGGAATTAGCCAGTCCATTATGGCTGCTGAGTCCACCACCTACATTTTTACCTTAGGTCTATCCACTCCTTGCTTCCACATTACCGCATTTCCAGGTACTAGCCTTCCCATTACACTCTCTACTCACTGTCAGGACAATCTTTTAAATTTGATCAAATTAACATATTTGCTTTTAAAAACTCTTTAATGGTCCATTACAAGAAGCAACCAGTGAATGCATAAATAACTGGAACAACAAATAGATGTTTTTCTCTCTCCCTTCCTCTCTCTAAAACCAATAAAACAAACAAACAAAAGACCCCAAATACCTCTTTAATGGTGTCTCACTGACATGCCCTCAATGATCTGAACTGACTCTCTCTTCCTTTCTGGCTCCCCCTTCCTCATACTCAGAGTTCCAGCCCAAAGAGTTCCTAGGTGTTCCCAAGAGAGCCACACTCTTGCAAATCTCCATGCCTTGGACCATGTGGCTTTTTTTCCTGCCTAGATTCTTCTTACTTTTCCATGAATTCAACTCTTACTCCTCCCCTAAAGATCTAAACTCAAACCACATCTTCCCTGGGGAGGCCTTCCCTAACTCCCACTTGCATCCAAGTTAGGTGCCCGCTCTGTGTTCTCCGAGGCTTAGGGGCTGCCTCCCCACTGTCCTTGCCACCATGCACTAGGATTACTGGTTTAGCTTTTGTAAGAAATGTTAGGACAGTGACGGTGTCTTCTATTTCTGTGACTGAGAATAGTGGCTGAGATCAACGAGAGCTCACAAGTGTAAAGAGATAAGGGTCCAGGGCAGAAACCACAGAGACTCAAAGGAGATGAGAAAGAGCAGTTAGAGATGCAGAAGAAAACTGGGAGACAGCACGTGTCACAGAAGCCAAAGGAGGCCAGTTACATGCAGGAAGGAATCGCCACAACGTAAATTGCCGCTGCTGGAAGGTTTAAGTAGGACATAGTTTAAAAAAAGTTCACTGGGTTTAGCAACCAGCAGGCCATTGGCTGGCTACCTTGGGGAAAGCAGTTTAAGTGGAGTGATGAGACAGGCCAAATTGCAGGTGGTTGTTAAGGAAATGGGAGATGAAGAATTTGAAGCAGCGAGGAAAAGTATATTCTCTTAAAGTATTGCTGTTCATTACAACATGAAGATTATGCTAAATGAGATAAGCCAGTCAGAAAACAAATACTGCGATTCTGTTCACAGGAGGAATGGCAGTAGTCAAATTCATAGACAACAGAAAGCAGCACGGTGTTTGCCAGGGCCTGGGGGAAGAGGGGAGTTGGTGTTTAATGGGCACAAAGTTTCCGCTTTGCAGATGAAAAGTGTTCTGAGATAGATGGTGGGTGATAGTAGCAAAAAAGTATGGATGTATTTAATGCCATTGAGCTGCACAGTAAAAAATAATTAAAATGGTATATTTAAGATTAGGTATAATTTATGACAATTTTTTAAGAAGAGAAAAAAACATTGATATGAAAGACATTGCTACAACAGGACATGGACTGAGAAGGTTTTTGTTTGTTTTTATCAGAGAGGCAAGAAACCTTGGCATGTTAATAAACTGAGAAGTGAGTTAGTCAAAAGGGAGAAAAGGGAATGACTTTTAATGTGGAGACCCTGAGGAGACTGAGCCTAGGCCCAGAGGATAGCAGGCTCCTGCTCGAGGCAGAAGGGACAGACAGAAGGAGGTGGTAGAGAAGTATGTTGGTGAGAATATGGGTGGGCAAGAAAAACATTTTTTTAAAGCTTCTATCTGATGATATCTTTTTCTTTGAAGGAAGTGGCTGGAATGGGAGGGAGTGGGGGCTGAGGGAAAGCGGTGAAGATCTGAGAAAGCTGTTAAAGAGACTGGGAGGAGTGTACTGAAGATCAGTACTCATGTGCAAGGGTTAAGAGGCAGTTCCTGACTTTGCCTGTGATGATGGGCTAAGACTCCCAGAGTAACTTGCAGCTGGGTCTTGACCCAGTCAGTGGCTGAGAGCACAAGGAGAGAGCGTGGATAGCGAGTGAGTCATGGACAAAATGTACAGAGGAAGAACAAAGGGCCCTGAGCTGAGCATGATGGGAAGCACATGGCTAAAGGGGCTACACACTGGGAAGGAAGAAAAGATGGGAGGGGAACACAGGGCAATGAGGGATCAAGGACAGACTTCTCAACAAGGGGAAGAGCAAGTGGAGTTGGAATAAGGGTTTGGGGAAGCAAAAGATTAGGAGACTGAAGTTAGCAATAAAACATATAAATTTAAGATTTCTGAGGTGGGAGAGCTCTGGATTCCTACCAGGGGGATTGGCCAGGGTCTAAGTGGCTAAAAATAGTAATCCAACCAGAGAGAACTGAGTCCTAGCCACAGGGGATATGTTTCTGTGTAGAGATAATTCAGATGATCTTTTAAGAATCTTTTTCTCTGGGTTCAATTTTCTCCCATTCCTTGTTTTCCCTTTAGAAAATCCCTAATGACCTAGGTACTATTCCTTTTTACATTCTCATTCACCTACTTTTGTTCTTATATGATGCCTAAACTCAATATTAACCTTGTTGTGTACTCAACCATGGGTGTAAGCTGCAGAGGATAAAGCCCATTAAAAACCATGAAAACAGGCAGTGACTTTTTTTCCCAAGGTTAACATACACATTAAAAATACTAGTAAAAAATTAATCATCATCACCTATTCAAGACTTTCAAAAGCTGTGTGGATATTTTATATTACCTTGTTTAAATGATTCTGAGTAGGCTAGTAACATAAAGGGAGCCTTGGTTTTAAACAGGAAAGAGCCCAAAAGGAAGAGAAGTTAAAGAAGAACTTTTATCTTTTCATACAACCTGGTTACCCCCATGATGAACATATCTTTCATTTCACTTGTCTTGGAAGTGGGAGTCAGTCTTGCCCGCCATCTCCTAGCTCCAATGATGGCAGGGACAGACTGAAGCAGCTGTCCTTCTGGCTTTCAGGGGTTTGTGCAGTTGCCACACAATCTCAAACAACATCTCATTAACACATGCCAACCCTGGCTCTCGCCGGGGCAATGTGACAAAGAAGCAAATCACCAACATTTTCCAAATGGATTGAGTCCTCTTTTGTTTGTATTGATATTGAGAACTTTTGACATTAGATTCGAATGAATCATTCTGAAATCGGTTAAGTATATCACGTGTATCTTTGTATAAGCCCAAAGTGTACCCTGTCACTTTCACAACTTATCTGAAATCAGAACATGCAGCACGTGTGAGCTCCTGAGAGAGCAATGGCACATGGATTTTGCTTTCAGTCCCACCTGTATGTCCTCTGAATGTTGTGACCAGGGTGCAGTTTTCTTGCTCCAGTTTGAGGATGGTTACTTGGCCTGAATGGTCACCAATAAACACATGCCGGGTTTCAACATCGAATCTATCATATAAGCATTAAGGATTTTTCTCGAAATTGAGTGGAGGGATTTATAAAAACAATAAATGTAAGAAAGATACAAAAGTGGACATAACAAAATGAAAAGACAGTATTTGTGGACAATAAGACTCAACATGACAAAGATGGCAATTCTCACATGAATTTATAAATTTAATATAATTCCTATAAAAATATCAACATGTTTTCTTCCTGGAGTTAGATATGTTGATTCTAAAGAAAAACAAATAAGCAAGAAAAGCCAGGTATATTCTGAAAATAACAGTAATATGGTATACGATGGAGAAGGCTAGCCCTATCAGATATTAAAACATGTTATAAAGTTTACTTAAATAAAAGTGCGGCACAGATGCATAATTGACAAATGGACCACTGGCATAGAACAGAAAGTCTCGAAATAGACCTTAAAGCATAGAGAAATTTGTTACATGTCTACTAAAGGTGGCTCTTCAACTAATAAAGATAGATTTTTTTTTTAAAAAAGGAAAAATTAAATAGGATTTGTATTTCACATTATATATTAGGACAAATTCTATATGAATTAGAGATCTAAAAAATTTAAAAAATATGTGTTCTATATGGACGAGTTCCTTTATAACCTTAATGGAAAAAGCTATTACTATAAAAAACATAAACAACAAACAAATACAATAAGCAAAGTTATTATAAAAGACCAACTGGGAAAAAAAAACATATTTGCAAATTAGGTCACAGAAGGCTCAAATCTCTAATATATAAAAAGAACAATCAAGAAAAAAAGAACACACCATAAGCATAATAGAAAAAGGGGCAAAATATATGAATAGTTCAAGAAAGGAAAATGTTGCTAGGCAAATCAAGCATTAACCTAGCGGGTCTGACTGCTATCCTTTGAAAGGTTGTCTAAAAGGCTGACATGGCATCTGGGAACTTGGATTTCAGGAGGGTTTCTGCCATTGACAGACAAGAGTGGCTAACTGTGCCTGAACTGCACAAACAATATGGTTCACGACCAACACCCACTTTCCTTGTGGGAGTCTGGAAGTCTGGTGCAGGCCACGCAGAGGCCTCCCATGTGACCGGCTGAGTCTCTAGTGAGAGTTCCTGGTTGATAATGCCTAACAATAATCCTACCTCTAGAGATCTATCCATAAATACACTGGCAAGAATACAAGACACATGACAGAGGCTACTCACTCTGTATTATGGTAACAACTGAAGTTTGAAAACAACCCAAAAGCCCAAGAAACGGGGACTTACTAATTTAACTATGACATACCCATGCAGAGGGAGGAAAAAAAGACTTCCATAAGCAAACTGACATGGAGTAACTTTCAGGATATATTACTAAGTGTGTGTGTCGGGGGGGGGGGGGACCACGGTATATAAGAGTTATATGCTTTACTACCTTTGTGTAAAAAAAAGGGAGAAAATAGCCGGGACCGGTTTGGCTCAATGGATAGAGCGTCGGCTTGGGGACTGAAGGGCCCCGGGTTCGATTCCAGTCAAGGGCATGTACCTTGGTTGCGGGCATATCCCCAGTAGGGGGTGTGCAAGAGGCAGCTGATCGATGACTCTCTCTCATCGATGTTTCTAACTCTCTATCTCTCTCCCTTTCTCTCTGTACAAAAATCAATAAAATATATATTAAAAAAAGGGAGAAAATATAAATACTACTATTGATATAAGTGTGTGCATGCTCATCCTGAGAAAAGAAAACCCTGGAAGGATAAATCAAGATCTAACAAAAATGGTTGCCTATGGAGAAGGGAGAAACAATTGAAGGTACAGAAATGAGAATGAGACGTCTCTCTTGTTATAGCATTTACATTTTATAATCTTGTAATTCGTTTACACATTAAAAATATTTATAAAATTAAAAAATCCCCCAAATTGACAATAATGTAAAATGAATGAACCTAATTATCAAATTGGTGATATAACCACATAGTTAACACAATTATTTCAAGTGACTTCAAAGCACAGCATTTTGACTGTGCATCCTTTGTAGAACATATTTAAGGACAACGAGAACTGCAAAAAAATCTAAAACCTCATCCAGTAGTTTTGTTATTATAATATTATTATTATTATTATTATTATTATTTTGAAACAATACTATATGCACTGATAATTTATTTACTTTATAAGAATCTTCATACATATATTTTCTAGCTATCTCTAAATACTATTCCTCACTAAAAGAAGTGGCTGATTGCAGGAGTGGAATGGAAAGGTACAAGATGAACTTAAGACAGTTGTGCAAAAAGCAAGGAAACGATCAGAAGCTATGGGGGTATAAAAAAGACACAGAGATGAATCATGTCTTATTGGCCTAACCCTAAATCCAAATCACTTATAAGTTTAGTTTTACTTTAGATGAAAACTTTAATAACCTTCCCTCCCAGGCTCTTTACCTTGGTCTTCTCTCTTTTTATCTCCCAATATGCTCTATAGCTGGTAAGAGGGGGAAGGCAAAATCTTTTCCAATTTGAATTCAGTTAATAAACTTAATTGCTTTTACAAAAGAAAAATGTCTATATAGGTTTCATGTTAACAGTTAAGAACTGCTGAGAAGTGTGGCCACACTGCTTCGTCTTAAGCTTTCTACTTTCTCCCCCTTTCCTCACATGCCAGCCCGTGGGAAGACCTGCCCCTCAGGCTTGTCAGTGTGTCCCAGAGGCAGGAGTGGAGCCACTGTCCCCACTGGAACTGACAGGGCAGGCCTGTCACTGTGGGAAAACTCCACACTCTGTGGCAGCCCTGCCGCCCCTTGCTGTCTGTGTAAATACAGTACTTTGTCCTTCATTTGTAAAAGATCAAGTGTTAGAAATCTTTGGTGTAAATAAACGTTTGGTTTTATTTATCAAGAAAATAAAAAGACACAGGAACCAATATGGTGGGGCTCTTACTGGCCAAAGATGGGACAATAAGAGCATTCAAAAGAAGCAATTTATTGAAATATAATTCATATATTGTCTAAAAGACAAACAAAACCTAAGAGTTTGTAAAAGATTCCCACTGGAGGTATCCATGGCACTAAATCTCTATCCAAAAATGAGCAACTAGAGAAATAATTAAGAATTTATGTTGCCTTTTGCTGTGCTAATTGTATTTCAGGATAATCAAATAGCCCTAGTTAAATGAGGTAAAGTCCTACTTTATAGAAGAATTCCAACTAATACATGTGCAAAAACGATAGGATTACAATGTTACCATTTTGCGACATCAGTGAAAGAACTAGTTCAGGCAAAGATCAGCAATTGAAACCATTACATGAAAAGCTAATGGGAAGGACTGCACTGCAGGGAGAAGCTGAACTACTGATCAGTCTTGGCCTCCCTGGAGGGGCAACAACCCCACACTATGCGCTTCTGGTTGTGAAGCAACATGGAGCACAACACAATTAGCAAATATACTTAACAAAAGTTGAATCTGAACTGAATCAAGATTTCAGAGGCAACTTTCCGTGTACAGAAAAATATGGGACAAGGGTAGGCAAGTAAAAGAACAGGTTAAATGACAACATGAGGAAGCAGAGATTAATTTAGTATACGGGACTGTCCACAGGAGAACTGATTCAGTACCTCCACAGCGGCATATATAAAAGGGAGGTGCAGTCACTGCTCTAGATTGAGATTGAGGAGATATGACAACCTGACCCAATGTGTGGACCTTGTCTGGACCCAATATAAAACAAAATCACTGCAAAAAGCCATTTTAGAAACAGTGACATTTTTAAATGGATCAATTATTCAATAATATCAAGGAGTGATTACAAAATTTTAGCAGTAATATATTATGATTATTGAAAGAAAATCCATAATTTTTAGAGGTGCACATGAAGAATGTAAGAATGAAATGACATAAGGTCTAGAATATGCTTAAAAATACTCCAGCAAAAAGAGAAAGCAAAAAAGGATAGAAGAATTAAAGTAGATCTGAGTGATAAATATGTGGGTGTTCATTATATTATCCCTTTTTCTAATTTGGTACATATTTTGAAAAATTTCATATTAATTTTTTAAAATAGTGAAAGAAAACAAAGCATAACAAATGTTTCCAGAATCAAGAACAAGGGAGAAAAGTTATATTCTACAAACAAGTATATATATATATGTGAAACTCTATTATGATTTATATGAAACTAGAAGCCCAATGCACAAAATTCGTGCATGGGAGGGGGGTTCCCTCAGCCCGGTCTGCACCCTCTCCAATCGAGGACATCCCTTTACAATCCAGAACCACTGGCTCCTAACTGCTCACCCGCCTGCCTGCCTACTGCCTGATCACCTCTAACCCCTCTTCCTGCCTGCCTGCCCCTAACTGCCTCTGCCTCAGCCCCCGGCCTAAGCTGCAGTCTGGCCTCCCTGTGCAGGAGGCAACCTGGATGATCAGGGGAAGGCACTGCCCCCATTACCCCTCTGCTGCTGCCACTGCCGGCCTGAGCCTGGGCCCTTTGCAGCTGCACCTCGGCCCTCGCAGCAGCTACTGTGGCTTTGTCCAGAAGACTTTCGCCCTAATTAGCATATCACCCTTTTGTTAGTATAGATAACCCTGGCTGAGGAGGCTCAATTTGTTGAGCGTTTTCCCATGCACTGAAAGGTCTTGGGTTTAATGCCCGGTTGGGGACAAGTGCAGGAGGTAATGATTGATGTCTCACTCACATCAATGTTTCTTTCTCTCTCGAAAGAATCAGAAAAAAAAAAAAAAAAAAAAAAAAGGCATGTCTTCAGGTGAGGATTAAAAAAAAGATTTATACAAAATAAGATCATTTATATTTATCTTGATTGATTATAAGAACAAAGATTTTTTTAAAAAGGCTAAATGCCTAGTAGTCTTTACTATTGTAGGTAAATAATAAGATTTTTTAAAAAAAATATGAACTCAACAAAAGCTATTTGGAAGAGGGCTGAAATAAAATTATAGTACAACCTCAAAGCCAGAGTGATAGGCATTAAATATGACATGAGGAAATATGAAAACCAAGATAACCTTAATAGCTTTTCAGTACTCTTTCCCAGAACAGGAATAGATCTAAGAGACTATTTGGTAGAAAGACATTTCACTATGCAGGGTGACATCTTGAAAATATCTCCAACATGAACAGAATGTTAAAATGAAAAGTATCTGAACTATTTTGTGGAAAATGTGATTAAAAAAAAAAAAATGTCCAAATGACAGGACTGAAAGGTGAGGCTGGATAGTGTCCTGACAAATATACGAACTATGAAGTGGGGAGGGAAACAGTTTCATTTCCTAACTTCAACTGCCATGGGACTTCTGAGAAATAGTTCCATTTTACTGCATCCGGTTTTGCAGAGAAGTAGCTAAAAGATTATCAAACTCAAATTCTATTCCTGATTCTCAGATAACAGTCATGTGACCTTGGAGAGTCACGTAAGCTAGCTGAGCCTCTCTGAGCCTTTAGTTTCTACATTATGAAAATTGAGAATTAGTTCTTTTTTTGTTTTTACTTTACATTACTGTATTCCTGGTGAACAAAGTTAACATTAAATAGAAATACTATATAAGCCCTTAAGGATTGCAAATGTAATTTATTTTTTCTATCCTTTTCTGCATTATTATTATTATTTAGACCACTTAATATCTGAAGATTCAGATCTTTAGCCAACACAATCAAAGATTTTGAAATTATTGAGAAAGAATTCAATTTGTAAACTGGTCATTCTCTGTCTTCCTTTATCCCTCTACTTCATTGCATATTTACTCTCCACTAAGAGGCCCTACAAGAAGAGAGACTCTGGTAAGAGCAGCGCTGTTATGCCATCAATGTGCAGCACTGGAAAATTATCAGGAAGTATATGCTTCTAGGAGTAAGAGCTGGCACTGTGGCTCCAAAATTGGAGCTAGAGAGGCAGAGCTGGTGGAGGTAACGGAATCTTCTGCAAGGGTCTGTCTGTATGTAGTACTGCAATTCCCTTCCATCTTAATAGCAAGATTAGATGGGATAGTCATGGATACTGGGAAATGAAGCCACAGGCTTTCATACACACACACACACACACACACACACACGCACGCACGCACGCACGCACGCACGCACGCACGCATGCACGCACACACACACTTTACTTGATAAAGCCACATGGTTGTGGCCAAAGGAAACAGTCAAAAAACAAGAGACAAAGGCTACCAAAGTCAAGTCAAGTTTAACTTTGTGTTTCATTTTCAAATAGTTTAAAAAGTAAACTAGCCCTGGCCAGTGTGGGTTGGTTGAGAATCATCCCGTGCACTGATTCCCAGTCAGGTTGCAGCTCAATCCCCAATAGGGAGTGTGCAGGAGGCAGTGGACAGATGTTTCTCTCTCACATTGATGTTTCTCTTTCCCTTCTCCACCATCTCTAAAATCAATAAAAACTTCGTAAGGGCAAAATCTTTATGTTTCTCTACTCCTTGGGTTGGTTAGTGATATAGAAGATAAATCACTAGGTGTGGCTAGTAATAGAGAAGCCAGCATATTAAGACCAAATAATATTGGTACCATTAGTTCTGTTCTTAAAAGAGTAACGCAGTATGATGGGGGGAACAACAGTCCAAGCAGAATCTAGGTTCTAGCGGTGATTTTCCTACATCCTTAGCTGGGTGGCCACACAGAGGATCCATGGCGATTCCTGGGCTTCAGCTGACTCATCTGAGGCATTGGACGGGGTGAACTCAGGCTCTTTCAGCTCTAACACTATAAGAAATCATTAATGTGTTGGCAAGAGAATTTGTGCCAATTCATTTACTTTAAAAAGTAAACTCTGGAATTTCTTTTATTAACAGGTAGTACCACCCTCTCAAAGATAAGTTGATTCTGTTCTTCAATTCTTATTGTCCTTGCTTCTGGTCTTCTTTGTAATTTGCCATTTTACAACCTTCTATGAAAGCTATTCTTAATTTCTTCATCTTGCCCTTCCAGTGAGGGGGGGAAAAAAAAGTGACATTACCCCATACACACAAAAATGCAGCTACTGCAAAGAAACTGTAAGCATTTCTTCAGACTGTTGAGAATTGCTGAATAAGCAAGTTTACAAATAAGGTGAAAATCTGAAAGCAAGTCTTACTATTTCTTCTTACTTTGGCTGCCGAGTGATCTGTTCCCACCTGTTTTCTTATTTGCCAGAAGGTGATGAGAGGTCTATGCCTTTTAAATCAAAGGCAGGGTTCTTTATTCCTTACAATGGTAGCATCATCCAAACGTATTAAGCCTGCTTGCTGGAGCCCAGATGTGAGGATTACTCAGCATAGTAGGTGTTCACACTGAGCACATGGGTCCTTAGACTTGGGAGACAGAAATAATACCACTCTACAGATCATGGGAAAGTCCTGGGCCTATAACAGAGCCTATAGATACCAGCTGACCTACTCAAGTCCTGGCATGGTAGCCTCTCAGATATTTTTTAAATGAATAGGAATACTGTGGCTCTTCTGCCAGGCACCGACGGGCATATTCACAACATTAGTATCTGTGTGTAAATTACTTCTGTACAAAAATAACAGACTGTATTTCAGTGATGGTTTTATCCTCCCGTTCTGCAATTGCTTATGACAGCTGAGACTCACAATCTGGGCTGTGTTCTACCAGATGCCAGGCTTTGGACCATAGTACATCACAATCTATTTTCTTCAGGTGAACTGAGCTCACTTTACTCCTCCTACATGAGGATTTGTTCATTAGAAAAGTCTATGGGCATCTTAATCAGCAGGCTGAGTCAGCAAATAAAGAACTTTCTGAAAGAAAGCAGCTAAGTTCCCACCAAGGAGTTTCCTCCAGCAAAGGATACTGCAGGCCCGAGGCCACGGCACCGGTGCGATAGCCTCCCAGGCGCTGCCCGCTCTCGGAGCAGTGCCAGGCGAACTGCTTGTCTTGTCCCGTGCTCAGCACCCATTCCAGCTCCAGGACAAACAGGATCATCGTCACTCTGCTCTGATGTGCTGAAAACCAAGAGGCAAGAACACAAGCCATAAGTATCCTAGAGGAGGCTGTAAGCATGGCCCAGAGACGCGCTGTTCCCTTCCCCCTCCCAGAACAAGTTAACACAAGTAGAAAAGGGGTTCTCAGCAGCAGTGAGGGCATGCCCCTTTAGGGGCATGCCCCCATTCTTATATATGAAGTCTGGCTTATAAATATACAACAAAGTTCTAGATCAACTGTCTGTAAGAAATCAAACACTTGGAATGGAGGGCAGAATTAGGCCCAAGTGCTAAATAAAAGTGATAATGAGAACATATTTCTCAGGGTTGCTCATACACAAGAGTAACAACATCATAGGATTATCGCATCACACAACTTCAGAGTTAGAAGAAACCGCGCATGTCATCTACTCCATCTCCCTGGGGAACTGAGGCACAATACAGTTCAGTATTTTGGTCAAGGTCTAGCACATTGCCAAATAAAATCAGTAAAATGTTTGCTTTCTTCTTAATATACAATCCCAGAGGGTAAGGAAGAGGGGTCTGTGGCCACTGAACAGAGCTGACTGAACAAACAGAGATTAACATCCTGGAACCTGGCTGCTTGGTCCAGCCTGGTGAGCAGACTGATCACAGGTGTGATGCAATGACAGAGAAGACAGCAGTTTCCCATTTTGATCAGCTGCCCTTTTCTGTGTGTCTAACAAGTACCAGGTACTTAAATATATTATCTCAGTTATAGTGACCGATCTTGCAAGAGTTGGGGAGGGAGGGGTTGCCTCATTTTACAGACCTTACTTAGCCTTGGAAAGATGGCCCTTTTAGATTGACTCCTGAACACTACACTCAGAACCAGAATGAATACCCACAGGACAGTCATTTCAGCAAATGCCTGATGTCTTAAAGTCTGGTATTTGAAGCATGAGAATCTAAAGGGATACAAAAAAGGTATGGAAGCAATAGTACAACTTCTCTACAGTAAATATCTGCTTTTCAGAGTATAAGCCACAATCAAGATAAAACATTTTTAACTAAAAGAGTGACTTCCTGGAGAAACTCTGAAGATTTTGTCATGTCTGTGTCATCAGATGTGTAATGAAGTTCCACCAACAATGGGGTAAAAGCAAACTCTCTAAAGCAGTGGTCGCCAGCCTTTCGGAACTCACGGACCACTGGTTGGCAACCACTGCTCTAATGAGTCCAAGTGCACCTGCATCTATTTTAGGCAGAACATGGCTCCCAGAACTTTGCCCCTTTTCTTCATAAAGGGACCTTTGACCTCCTATTTTATTACTTTCTAAGTCCAAGGGGATGACAGTGGCCCACAAAGTAAGGAGGGGTTAGCGGCGGGCGGGGTGGGGGGGGGGGGAGGGGGCGGTGTGGGCCCTCTGAGCTGCCACCATGTGCCAGAGGAGAAAGAGCAGTTCAGGGACTTGTTCAAAGGCAGACACCCGATGAGTGAGGAGCTGGAATTAAAGCCCTAGTCTCTCTGCCAAGTTATAATAGTTTTCTTTCTCTGTGTCAGGCTATGACTCTGAAAAAGAAACAAAAACCAAACCCCCTAAATCAAACACATATTCTTTTTAGGGTGACAGAATTCTTTTATTAAAAAAGAAATCCTTTAGAGGTCCATACATATCATTAAGCTTCAGAAACCTGGGCTTGAAGCCTATGCTTCTTGAATGGCAGTGGTGAGAAAGGACATCATTTGAAGGAAAAGCATCTAGTTTCTCACAAGTAAGTATGATGTTAACTATAGGTGGTTTTTTTTTTTGTTTGTTTGTTTTTTTTGTTTTTGTCCATATCTCCTTATCAAGTTGAGGAAGTTCCCCTCTATTTGTAATTTGCTGAGAGCTGCTTTTTTTTTTTTTTTTTTTTTTTTTTTTTTTATCATGAATAGATGTCAGATTTTATCAAATGCTTTTCCTGCATCAGTTGGTATGATTTTTTTTTTTCCTTTAGCCTTTTGCTGGAATGGATTACACTAATTTTCAAATGCTGAACCAGCCTTGAATATCTGGAATAAATCCTACTTGGTCATGGTAGTATAATTCTCTTTATATATTATTGAATTTACTAGTATTTTTTTTTTTTTTAAGGATTTTACATCTATGTTCTCGAGAGATACTGGGACTGTAGTCTTTCTTTCTTGCAATATCTTTGGTTTTGGTATCACTGATTCATTTAAAAAATGTTTATTGAGATAAATTTTGCATAATATAGAATTAGCCATTTAAACCATTCAGTGGTCTGTAGTATATTAAAATGTTGTATAGTCATCATGAAAAATTTTCTAGAACATCACCCTCAGCCCTAAAATAAACCCATATCCTCAATTTCTCCTCCTCCCATACCTGGAAAACTATTACTTTACTTCTGTCTCTATGGATTCTCATATTTTTTATTATCTCCCTAGAGGCCTAGTGCATGAAATTCTTGCATAAGGGGGGGAGGTGTGCTCCTCAGCCCAGTTTGCACTCTCTCTAATCTGGGACATCCCTCTCACAATCCAGGACTGCTGGCTCCCAACCGCTCACTTGCCTGCCTGCCTGATTGCCCCTAACCGCTTTTGCCAACCAGCCTGATCACCCTGTAACCACTCCCCTGCCAACCTGATCAACACCTAACTGCTCCTGTTGGCCTGGTTGTCCCCAACTGCCATCCCCTGCAGGCCTGGTCGCCCCCAACTGCCCGCCCCTGCCAGCCATCTGTGGTGGCCATATTGTGTCCACCTGGGGGCCGCCATCTTTGACCACATGGGAGTGGCCACCTTGTATGTTAGAGTGATGGTCAATTTGCATACTACTCTTTTATTAGATAGGATATAAATATAATCATATAATATATGATCTTTTGTGTTTAGTTTCTATTAGCATGGTTTCAAGTTTATCTATATTATAGCATGTATCAGTACTTCATTCCTATTTTTATGGCCAAATAATAGTTCATTGTATCAATATACCACATTTTATTTATCCATTCATCATGAATGAAAATTTAGGCTGTTTTCACTTTTTGGCTATTATGAACAATGTTACTATGAATGTTTGTGTACAAGTTTTTGTCTGAACACATGCTTTCAATTCTCGTGAGTATAGGAGTGGGCAAAAATAGTTTACAGTTGTAAGTACATGAAACTGAGTTTATTCTTGTATTATTACTTATTAATAACTGTATTATTTATTATGAACAACTATAAACCTACTTTTGCCAACTCCTGTATAACTAGGAGTATAAATACTATGTTTAACTCTTTCAGAAACTGACAAACTATTTACCAAAGTGGCTATACCTTTTTACATTCCCACCAGCAGTGTATAAAGGTACCAATTTTTCCACATCTTTTTTAACACTAGTTCCCCCTCCACCTTTTTTGAGAGGAATTAATATTTATGAACTGATGAACTATGTTTAAGATATTCTACTAAGAAATTTTATTGATATATATGCAATCTCTTTTTTATTGTGGTAAAATAAAACATATAATTTACAATTTTAACCATTTTTAAGTGTACAATACTGTGGCATTAAATACATTTACATTATTGTATAATCATTATCACAATCTACTCTCCAGAACTTTCTCATATTCCTAAATATAATAGAAACTGTGTACCCATTAAGCACTAGTTCCCCATTTACCTTCCCCCAGCCCCTGGCAACCACCATTCTACTTCCTGCCTTTACAAGTCTGACTGCGCTAGGTACCTCATATAAGTGGAATCGTACCATACTTGTCTTTTTGTGACTGGCTTATTTCACTTAGCATATGTCTTCAAGGTTCATCCATGTTGTAGTGCGTGTCAAAATTCCTTTATATGTATATAGCACATGTTCTTCCACTGTTTGGATATTATGGATAATGCTGCTATGCACATGGGTATACATATATCTGTTTGAGTCCCTGTTTTCATTTCTTTGGGTGTAAACCTGGGAAACCTCACTTGGTTGTGATGTACTATCCTTTTTATATATAGCTGAATTTGATTTGCTAACATTTTGGTTAGATTTCTTACATCTATTTTCATGGAGGATGTTGTCAGCAGATTTTTTTTCTTTCTTAAACTGTCTCTGTCTAGTTTTAGTGCCAGTTAATGCTGAATTTGTAAAATGAGTTAAAAACTTTTATTTCTTCAATTTCTCAGAGTTTTAATTGTTTTTTTCCTTGTTTGGCAAAATTCACCAGTAAAGCCATCTGGGCCAAGAGTTTACCTTGTGGGAAGATTTTAATCATAGAGTCAATTTCTTTACTAGATATAGAACTATTAGGGTTATCTATTTCTTCTTGAGTGACTGTAGCAGTTTGAAATTTCAAATATTTGTTTACTTCAGGTAAGTTGTAATATTTGTTAGCATAAAGTTGTTCATAATATTCATATTTTCCTTTAAATATCCCTAGAATCTTATATAATAAAGAGGTAATATGCAAATTGACCATCATACCCTTGCACAAGATGGCCACCCCAAGTGGTCAAAAAATGGCTGTCCCATGTTATCACAAGATGGCCGCCACTATGTTATCACAAGATGGATGCCACAGATGGCCAGTAGGGGAGGGCAGTAAAGGGGTGACCAGGCAAGCAGGGGAGGGCAGTTGGGGGTGATTGGGATGGCAGGGGAGGGAAGTTGAGGGGAACTGGGCCTGCAGAGGAGGGCAGTTGGGGGCAACAAGGCCGGCAGGGGAGGGCAGTTAGGGGTGACCAGGCCAGCAGGCGAGGGCAGTTGGGGGCAATCGGGTCGACAGGGGAGCAGTCAGGCATCAATAAGGCTGGCAGAGGAGTGGTTAGGGGGTAATTAGGCTGACAGACATAAACAACTAGGGGCAATCAGGCAGGCAGGCAGGTGAGCAGTTGGGAGCCAGCAGTCCCAGATTGTGAGAGGGATGTCCGACTGCCAGTTTAGGCCTGATCCTTGTTGGGTCCCAGATTAGAGAGGTTGCAAGCTAGGCTGAGGGATACCCACCCCTTCCAGTGCATGAATTTTGTGCACCAGGCTTCTAGTCTATAATAATATCACTACTC